CCCCCCCCCCCCCCCCCCCCCTTTCGGGTTGGGATTTGCTACTGGCAATTGCTAAATGCGACACTCTTCCCGCGTCTATGCTATGATTTTCGGTTCCCCCGCATCAATTTTCGTGCGTACCAAGGTACTGACCAAGCTGACAAGCCAACAAAGCTGACTGCTAATCTGGGTGGAATCCTCGCATACTCGTACCTGTGACGACGGGTCTATCGATCTGCCCGAGGTGCCCTAGTGTGTGCCTGTATAATGCATACAGCTTGGCTGTCAAGTGAAATATACGTCGTGTACCTGCCCAAGTTCAGTACTGTCACCATGTAATCAACCAGTAACATTTAGTACACCATAACCAAGAAAATCCGATGTACCTTACATAGGTGTCTCGCCTATACGCTTGTACCTACACTGCCTCTGGAACGGATGGCAGACAACAAGTTTTCCGGAAAGTCTCTTTGATCCCAAGATCCCGGGCCTGAACCTGGCATATATATATATAGTAAGTACATAGTGTCTTCAATCTAATGTAAGGTACGTAATCTTTACATTCTTTACATTACATACCCTAAGCAGCAGCCGTCGTAGTGTGCAATTAGGCTCGACATATGAAGCCATCCGGTAAAAGCACAGATAATTGCATCTAGTAGGCGGGATTATTAGTTCCTGGGAAAGGTTGAGGAATGTGAGCGATATCATTGAATGGCTAAAGTACGAAAGTCACAACAATGCCTAACAAGGTATTGATTATTGTGGTTCTTGTAAATCAGGTGTTCTTATATGAAAGCTTAACGACCTTGAATCTTTGGGCACTAAACGATTAAGAACATGTGTAATCAAATCCGTAGTGTAACTTGATTTGCGCCAGGTGATTGTTGGGGAGTTGATTTTATTTTTGTTTTCCCTTATTGTGCCTACGTACTAACGATGGACGGTTCTTAGTTGCTGCACGGTATATGCTATTTGATTCGCCCGTACAGACTTCAATGGTCCTGCTACAAGGTACATGGTTACCTAAGCTACTACAAAGCACTTGGATATTTATATTGTACCTACATACACAAACCCGTCTAATCTTCAACCACCTGTGGTCGCTCCCCGCAGAAATAACCACGTCTACAGCTTACCAGTCAAAGTATTGTGCTGGTGGTAAATCTCATTCTCCACGAGGGAAAGCCAAGCTGCCTATTCCCGGCATACCACAACCACCTCCAGCCATAATGGCCGATGGGCAGAACAGCGCCAAGAGGTCCAACTCTCGCACGCGCTCTGTTTCGCGACCGACGACGCCTCTTCGACCCTCGTCCCGTTCCTCCTTTCGCGAGTCTGCACAGCGCTCAGTCGGCGGAGGCGAACCGTTTCCTCTAAACACGTTCGAACCCGCTTTTGCAGAGCTGTCCGACGCCGTGGCCGACCTCGAGGCCAACATGATGCACTTCCAGCTCATGCACGAAAGCCTGGCCCGCTTCAGCGAAAGCTTTGCCAGCTTCTTGTATGGACTGAATATGAATGCCTTCTGCGTCGACTTTCCAGAGGTACGCCCACGGGAAGGAGTCTTTCCTTTACGCACAAAATAGATGCTCGGAACATGGCGACTGACAGAGAATCACGATACAGGGGCCGATAGGCGAATCTTTTCGACGGGCCAAGATTAACGAGGAACACCCGGAGCCTGCAGGTATGCATGTTCGCACATTATTTATTGACTACTCATTAACTGTTTCCCTTCCCAGTAGGTCGGTCGCGTAGTACTGAGCGCGGCGAGCCAGACAGTGAAACTACATTTATGTAAGCCGTCTCAGCTGCCTCGCATTGCCATCAATTTTGTCCTAGTCACTAAATTTGGATCGTGTACAGGACCACGGACACTTCATTCGTCGAGAACCCCCCTCCCACCTCCTCTAAAATGACGCCAAAGAAGTTCACGACGTCCTCCGAGACACGACAATCTCGCCTGCCCTCAGGCTCACGTGGTGGTATTCAACGCCGCACAGGTGCTGGGCGCGGTCGTCCAAGTGGTCTTGTTCGACCTAGGGCACGCGGTCTTCGATGAGTGCTGGTCAATAACTCCTCCAATCAAAATGGTAGACGGCCTATCTCGTCAGCCTGGTATTGAGCCCCATGATCTATTTGATTGTGGGTCATTTCTGTGCAAAGCCGCCCCTCGGTAGTCCCTCAGATACATTGGTCGCAAGGAAATTTTCATTGCATAGGACTCGAATTCATCACTGGAGGGTAGTCCATTGAGAGAGGAGCGGGCACAGAACAAAGCTGGAGTGATAACCTCTCTGCGTAGTTGTATGGGACGAATCGCATGGTTGCAGAAGTCAAGGACAAATATTGGGCAAATGAGGCTCGTTATGATATTTCGGATTCGAGAGCGTGGGTATCATGTGGTCATGACCACTTCATTGCCGTTTGAGTGGCCAGTCTGGACAGGGCCAACGTTGTCGGTCGTCAAGCCGATAGCTGCTTCGGCTTCCTTCTGCGTGTAGGGCTCTTCCTTGAGTTGTTTCACTCTGAAAAAGAAACGTGTCAGCCATTATGGCAGGGTGGACAGCTAAAGAGATAAGATCTGGTGTAGTCGTACCTTCTTCTGTGCGGCTTGCCCTTGCGGTGGAGCACCAAACTGGCCTCGCCTTCGAACCATTTGGCACACTCGGTGCAGTACCACTTGCCTAAGCCAGGCAGATCCTCACTGGGCTTTGTGTCTTTCCATTGGGACAAATGTTTTGGGGAGAGCAGGTCGGCTTTGATCTGGTCGAGGTCTCGCGTCTTGCGACGGGTTTTGGTTAGAGTGCGCTTGTTGCCTACTCCCATTGCGAAGCACCAAAGCTGCCTGAGTACCAATAAAAGATTGTTTTTTTTTTAAAAAATTGAATTGGCTGGGGAAATGTGATCCAAGTGATCCAGAATCGGAATTAGACAGGAGGCAAGCGGTTGTAGATGAGATTAGTTTTGATGCGATGGACTGTGAAGCTGGCAGTGATAAGCAGAAATCTAATCTGTCGTGCCACCAAGAAAATTTTAGTGGGGTTCAGTATCTCTGAGTTCTGTATGGCGTCGGGGGGTATCGATTGCAGCGGGTACTTGGTCCGGCAGCTGGCGGCGTCTGGTGAGCCTCAGTGACGATACGTATCTTTGATATAACAGTAAATGCCTGCACATGTGTGCCCAATGCCCATGCAAATGTGGATGGTTGCGGTAAGGGTACGTATTTGGAGAGTGAAGCCGGAACTTTTTTTTTTCGGCACGTCCCGGCATTTCTTTCGCAACCTTTGTCGTTGGCCGAGGCTGATGAGCTTCACTTGATGCCAGCAAAGCCGACCACTTTTCCTCCTCTCTCGAGCTTTATGATTCGTCAATCAAGACTCCACATCTTGATCTCCAGGTCAGCAAGGTTTTTCATTGCCCCATATAATACCGCATGCGGTACTTTGACGTCGCTGGGGACCCGGGCGTACATGAATTGCCGCAATCTGGGTATGCCACGGAAATGGGGATGCGAAAATTCCTGTCCGCGCAGTTTAGATTGAATTGGTAGCAGGTGGGCAGAGGCAGACTGGTATGTTGTAGCTACATGTATACATTTGCATTGGAAGGTTAATCTATCAGTGGCTACAATTACGACATGTTCACTGTAAGGACTGAGACTATAGAGGCAACAAAAGCAAAATTGCACGTGCAAATGGAACTAGAGTACAGCTTGATACCTATTATGTGATGATACAATCCTGCAATCTACCAACCAACATTACACCATGTAGATAGCAATGAACAGGGCCATTTTGGTGCCGTCTCACGCCTACACCATGTGCTTGCTACGTTATTAGGTGGTAAGAGGTGAGAATGCCAGCTTTGCCATGAGCACAGTGTGGACAAAGTCCGCCAACCTATGGAGGAGGTTTATAAGGTGCAGAAGAATCCTTCATTACCTACCTGCTTACCACCAGCGGTTGGTTTCCTAGATCATTTCTATATACCTATGTAGTCAATACATGTGCCTTGACTTTTCTTTCTTTCTCAATTCATGGTACGTATCTTGCTATCCCTAGTGATTTTGCTGGGTCTTTGAGCTATCTGTGACATAAGAATGGGTACTGTAATTACTGACTAACACGAGACAGTTGTTTCGTCAACAATTACACACTACTTCCACTAAACATTACCTAAGGCAGGAGGCGTCGGGTACACGTACATTATTCACATATTGACATTTTCTATAGACAGTCTTCCCCTCAAGCAATACAAAATCGATATGCAGCATATTCACTTCTAGATGGTAAACTACATACTCAAAATCATAGCACAAAGATCACCTGCGCTAGAATGAATAAATTCATTACACATTCCAAGCATTCAACACTCTCCCCCACACATGCGCGAGGCATAGTCCGTATTGTGCATACCTATTGCCATGCCATGGTTTCCGGCTAGGGGGGTTTGACTTTGCCCTCTGCTGTCTTGCTTAGCACTGTGTCCGAGGCCGAATCCGCACCCGCCAGCAGGAGCTCGGTTTTAGGTATGTGCATAGAATGTTCAGCGAGCGCGTTTTGAGAACACGTCCGGCTACGAAAATGGAAGTGGAGCTTGTCTCTGCGATAGTGTGTTAGATACGGAGGCTCACCTAACCAAGGACTAAAACTCATAAGATACTGCAAATGGAAAGGGAGAAGGGAAAAAGGGTGCATTCAACTAGAATGAAAGAGAATGCACGTATTAAATAACAAATTACACCACTTTTGGAGTATTGAGAGCCATTCTATCTTGTTCACCCCCTCCGCGGTCCCCCGGGGGACAATACCGCTGAGGAGGATCCCCGAACCGAGAGCAGCAACCATGGCGACTCAGCGATCTCCAGAAATTCCAATACCCACGATTTCATTCGCCCACTCTGCCCGCTCATCCGATTCCAGCCAGTCGCTGTAGCCGAAAGCACCTAGGCCGACTGGGGTTGGAGCTCTCTTTAGCGTCATTTCTGATTCCGCCTGCGCCTGCCATCGCCTTTTCACCTGCTCGCGAGCCGCATCAAACTCTCCACCTTTTTCTCTTTCTCTCAGGATAAACATCCATCCACTGGAGTTTGCTTCCTTTTTAATTTTTTTTTCCACCTTCATCCTCCAATGCCCTTGATCTGAGAGTCGGGCTTGTCTCTCCTCGTCGACACTCTCCCCTCTGACCTGCCCACCCCACACACTTGTTTCATACCGGCTACAATCGCCCGTCTGCCTCTCTTGATTCCCCAATACACACGTCCTTGGACCTCCCAAGCTTGTCACCATGTTGGCAACCAGACAGGTCCTGGGCAATGCCACCCGCTCGCGGGTCATGGCCTCCATGGGCCTCCGTCGCTCCATGGCCACTGTTACAGACTCTCCTTTGGACAAGAAGGTATGTTGGACAATGCCTGCTCGCCGCCGCCCCCCTTGCGCGTTGTAGCCGAGGTTGCTGATATTTCCCGCAAAACTATAGGTCAAGCAGAACAACTGGGAAGAAGGCACCTTTGTCAACTACAAGAAGATGTCTGAGAACCTGGCCATCGTTCGCAGCCGTCTCAACCGCCCTCTCACATACGCCGAAAAGATTCTCTACTCGCATCTGGACGACCCGCACGGCCAAGACATTGAGCGTGGTGTCTCCTACTTGAAGCTGCGACCCGATCGTGTTGCTTGCCAGGATGCCACTGCTCAAATGGCCATTCTGCAGTTCATGTCTGCCGGCATGCCCTCTGTTGCTAACCCTACCACTGTTCACTGCGACCACTTGATTGAGGCTCAGGTTGGTGGTGAAAAGGATCTGACTCGTGCCATCGACATCAACAAGGAGGTCTATGACTTCTTGTCTACTGCTTGCGCCAAGTACAACATTGGTTTCTGGAGACCCGGCTCTGGTATTATTCACCAGATTCTCCTCGAGAACTACTGTTTCCCTGGTGGTCTGCTTATCGGAACTGATTCTCACACCGTGAACGGTGGAGGTCTCGGCATGGCAGCCATTGGTGTTGGCGGGTTAGTCATCCCACCCCATTCATAAAACAAGTCCTTTACTGACTTTTCTGAACAGCGCGGACGCCGTCGATGTTATGGCTTCAATTCCGTGGGAACTCAAGGCTCCGAAATACATTGGTGTTCGCCTCACTGGTCAACTCTCTGGTTGGACTGCTCCCAAGGACATTATCAACAAATTGGCTGGTATTCTCACTGTGAAGGGAGGTACTGGAAGCATCGTTGAGTACTTTGGTCCCGGAACGAACACGCTGAGTGCTACAGGCATGGGTACTGTGAGTAAACCACTGTTTTTTGATTTCTGTTCTTCAGTTTCTGCTTCTCTTCTTTTTTTTTTTTTTTTTTTTTTTTTACATACACATTACTTCTCCCCTTTTTCCAGTTTGAAGAGCATAAACCCGAGACTTTCGTTTGGGAATTATGAATACTTGAGATATATGATTTGGCTGGAAACTCCTTCAATCTCTTAAATCTCTTTTTATTTCTGAAAATTCTCTCCACTTCTCAAATCTTTTTTTATCTTTTAAATCTTCTTCTATTTTTTTTAATCTCTTTCTTTTCCTAACAATTCTCTCGATTTCTAACATCCCTCGATTCCTCAAAACTTCTTCCCTTTCTCAAAAATCTTTCTAAAAAAAAAACGTTTAAAATCTCTTTTAAACCCGTTTTTACGCTATCTTTGTCCGAACAAGAAGCTAATATTTTTTACTCAGATTTGCAACATGGGAGCTGAAATCGGTGCCACGACGTCTGTATTCCCCTTCAACGACAGAATGTACGACTACCTCGCTGCCACCAAGAGAAAGGATGTTGGTGATTTCGCAAGAATTTACGCCAAGGAGCTCAAGGAGGACGAGGGCGCCGAGTACGACCAACTCATCGAGATTAACCTTTCCGAGCTCGAGCCTCACATCAACGGACCCTTTACTCCCGATCTGGCCACTCCCATCTCCAAGTTCAGCGAGGCTGTCAAGGCCAACGGCTGGCCTGAGGAGCTCAAGGTCGGTCTGATTGGATCTTGCACTAACTCTTCCTACGAAGATATGTCCCGTGCTGCCTCTATCGCTCGCGACGCTTTGGACCATGGACTGAAGTCCAAGGCAGCTTTCACTGTCACCCCTGGTTCCGAGCAGATCAGAGCCACCATTGCTCGTGACGGACAGCTGCAGACCTTTGAGGAGTTTGGCGGCATGGTCCTCGCCAACGCTTGCGGTCCTTGCATTGGTCAGTGGGATCGCCAAGATGTCAAGAAGGGCACTGCCAACTCCATCATCTCTTCGTACAACCGCAACTTCACTGGTAGAAACGACGGTAACCCTGCCACCCACTCCTTCGTCGCCTCTCCCGACATGGTCGTTGCTTTGTCCATTGCTGGCTCCCTGTCCTTCAACCCCTTGACCGACAAGCTCAAGGACAAGGATGGCAACGAGTTCATGCTCGCCGAGCCGACCGGTGCCGGTCTCCCCGATCGTGGCTACGACCCTGGCAACGACACCTACCAAGCTCCCCCCGCCGACCGCTCCACTGTTCAGGTCCAGGTTTCTCCTACCTCTGACCGTCTTCAAAAGCTTTCTCCTTTCCAGCCTTGGGATGGAAAGGATGCTCTTGACATGCCCATTCTCATCAAGGCTCAGGGCAAGACCACCACTGACCACATCTCGATGGCCGGCCCTTGGTTGAAGTACCGTGGACACTTGGACAACATCTCAAACAACATGCTGATTGGTGCCATCAACGAGGCCAACGGCGAGGCCAACAAGGTCAAGAACGTGACGACTGGGGAGTGGGATGCCGTTCCCGCCACCGCTCGCGACTACAAGGCCAAGGGCATCAAGTGGGTTGTCGTCGGTGACTGGAACTACGGAGAGGGTTCTTCCCGAGAGCATGCTGCTCTCGAGCCCCGCCACCTCGGCGGTCTTGCCATCATTACCAAGTCCTTTGCCCGTATCCACGAGACCAACCTGAAGAAGCAGGGTATGCTTCCTCTGACGTTTGCCGACCCCGCCGACTACGACAAGATCAAGCCCGATGATAAGGTAAGCCCAATCATTTCCCAAAAGTCTACATTTCATTAGCTATTCAAAGCCCACGCTAACATGCAAATTACAGGTTGACATTCTTTGCACTGAGCTGGCAGTTGGCAAGCCTATCACCATGAGAGTGCACCCCAAGAACGGTGAGACCTTTGACATCAAGCTCAACCAGACCTTCAACGAGGCCCAGATCGAGTGGTTCAAGAACGGCAGTGCCCTCAACACGATGGCCAAGATGTCGAAGAACTAAAGAGGTGGATGACAGCGATGTTGATGATACCATAAAGAAGAAGACAGACAGCCACCTTGGGGGGAAGATGTTAGATAATAGGGAAAGGTCCCCTTTGCGCTTGCATTGTTGGGGAGGTTTTTCCTTGAATTTTTTGGGGGGGTTACACGGTTTGTTTTTGGTATGGATGTTATGCTTTACGGATGACATTGTATTGCACATGAGTTAGCCCATTGCTTTTTCGTTTATTATGTCATGTACAAAATTGAAATGTCTAAAGATAACACACATGTTCCAATACACTTTGAAGAACTGCCAATTCTGCCATGTGCTGAAAGTCGGCCAGTGTATTGTATGAGTAGACAATACCCTCTCGCATTCTAAAAGTTTATGATGAAATTGTCTCGATTGTTGGCAGAAGCACATTTGTAAGAAGCCTCGCAATGTTGCCTTATCCCTTTGAGCACCGGAAGTGATACCTTTTTGCTCCATATAATTTGAACAGGTCAGCTTTATAGTTTTGGACGGGAAAACTGCTTTTCCTTTGATTCAACCCATACTTCGATGAGATCTAACTGCTTTGCGGGAATCGTGGACCAATTGACGATATGCGATTCAGCGGGGCAAAAAAGTATCGCTTCCGGTGCTCAAAGGGAGAGTATATAGACGCAATACAATGAACGAGTCGTTCCCCTTTCTTATAATATAGCTGGATTGATTATATGTATCTTATAACTTGATAGGTAGGGATTCAAGGATAATAACTTGCATGATGCATATGTAGGTGGATAAGCAATTAGAGGGAAACTGCCAGCTGCCCGGACTGATTACCTATGCCATTACCCAACCTGGGTTAGGACCTTCTTCGGGGAAGGAAAACCCGTTGGCGTGTCATCTTTCTGACCGGGCCCCCAGCAGCGATGGACCAGACGGGACAGGGGTTCAACTTTCAGCATTCGGCCGCAGGTACGGGCACCTATGTCAATATCTACCTACACTACATTACAGCACACGATCGTTGATCTGCCTTTGGACTGCGCTGAACTGTGAGATTCGCTTGGGCCTAGTGTTTTTCCCATCACGCAGAGTCCCGTTCCTTTGCGATCCTCCTCGGTCACGTCCAGTAGGATTCTGTATTCCGCGGCTAAGCAACGCGCTTTGCGACGTCGCTGCGTGCTGATCCCAGAAGCAGAGAGCTCCCCGTCTGCCCCGTCCTACCCACGCACGCCTCGAGTCTACGACAACCCATCCCGGATCCTCGGTTCCCTCCTCGGGACGCTGCGAAACAAGGGAAACCAAAAGTGCGCCTGCTCGAGCGCTAGCTGCAGCAGCAAGATACAATATGCCCAATATTCACGGCTTCAGTACTCTACGGGCACGGTCCTATGTCTTGCGGCTGCCGCTCTTCACGCGCGCAATGATCTTCATCATCGTGGCTCTCCAGTTTGTGGGTTTGCAGACTGTATGGGATCTCAGGCAATGGGGCTCGTTGATCCCAGACCAGATCAGCTTCGGCACCGGTGAGTCAACTTTTCCCATCGCGGGTGGAAGCTGTCCAGACTCGCATTGCAGACCATGCAAAGTATAATCATAAAAGCCAAGGCCAAGAAGCTGACGTGCCTGGCCGAGACAGCATACCGGATAAACACCTTTCCACTTATACACATCAATTTCTTTCACATGCTACTCAATGTGCTGACTTTGATGCCGCTACTTGAGCGATTCGAAAACGAGCACGGGACGCTGACGAGTCTGGCCATGTTCTTTGGGCGTGAGTAATAATCGGGTGGGCCGGACGCATTGGATCAACATTCAGGAGCTGACAATGCACAAGCTTTGACAACGATACCAGCGATCATGTACGTGGTGATAGAAAGGGCGATACTGAGAAGCAATACCGCGGTCATGGGCTCTAGGTATGTCCACAATCGATTCCCACAAGTTGGGGGCTCAACGGCAACAGTCATACTAATTTCCATGTCAAGTTTCTGGGTCTTTTTGCTGCTGAGCATCGAGGCTATCCGAACATACAAGACTAACCCGTTCTTTGTCATTGGACCCTACCATATTCCGACGTGGACCACGCCGCTCGTCATTGAGCTTGTCACTGCAGCACTAATCCCCAGTAGTAGTCTCCTTGGACATCTCTGTGGCATTGCTGTCGGGTACCTCTGTAAGATCATTCTCTAGTTCTTGGGCCACGTTATTCGCGACTGACACGATAGCAACAGTCGGGTTGGGATACCTCAAAGTCTTGGCTCCCCCAGAGAAGGCACTTCGTTGGGTTGAGAGTCGTTTGAATCTGCTTGGCAGACTTCCGCATTACGTGAGCGTTGATCAAAAGACATATGGCCGTTTCGGCGTACTCCCTACGAGTAACAGTGGAAGCTCGACACTGCCAGGCCTGATTGGTAGCACGCAGAGACTTGGACCCTAGGCTGTGGCGGGAAAGTGGTTTGTATATAATTCATCAAGTCTGAGGCGACGCGCGTTTTGTTTGGCATGGCTTCGGCGTTAATTGGCATCATTACGTCTTGGGTATAATACAAATAGCTGGCAGCGTCAATCATCACCATCACCATCACCACCACAATCACCACCACAATCACCAATATCACGATCATCAGCACCATTTGGGTCAACTGGTAGTCTTCAATGACTCATGTAGACCGGGACTGTGATGTTGTGGTTATGCAGCGTAGAAAGAAAAACTCAAGTAAGAAGGGTCTTTGTGTTGTATCCATAAAATTCTTCGCGTTCAACCTGCAAAATCGACTGTTTGCTTCTTCTGGCCAAGCCACGGTTGAAAACTGAACAAGATGCATACATGGACATACTGTACAAATCCATCTTTCATGTAGTATTTCTACTCAGTGTCTGGTAGGTAGCAGAGCAAACCGCACGCATTATGCAATTAACGGTAAATTGGAATTGCCCGATAGGGATGTCATTAGTCTTATACATGCATTTCGACCTCTATGTACCTACCTCAAATACAGAGTACGTACTTGACCCATCTACTTCTGTACATTACCTTAACGGACCTAGGCGAGCTACGTACCTCACTCAAGCTACCAGCATACCTCCTTCCTACACCTCTCTCTTTTTCCTTTTTCCTTTTTTTGTTTTCCCCCTTCCTCCAGAACTCGGGTCTTGAGCTGGAGCGATGCCTCGCCTTCTTTGTAAGTAAAACCGCCGCCTGCCCGTCCACAAGACAATGACGACGCCGTCGCCGACGCCGCCATCCGTTACAACAGATTGGTAGCTGACAATGTCCTGTGTTATAGCCGGGGCGCTGTTCGCCCGCCGCGACCCGCGACTTCTGAAGATTCCCCCGTATCTTTCCTTATTGTGTATCGTGGTCGGCGTCGCGTGGCTTTTTATGCTGCCATTGAACGAGTACTCGCGCCGGACGTACATATCCGAGAACGCCCTTCTTCCTGGCCAAGTGCACACCTACTTTGGCGGAAGCGACCAGAACGTCTTTCGTGCCTATAGACATGAGGTGTCGGCACTGGAGAACAGCACCAATGCCGAGTACGTACCTTGAATCAATGTCTTTCATCTCGACGTTTCAATCTTCCTCGCCACTGCGGAAAGAGACGCTGACGCTCCAGTGATTATATGCAGGGTCAATGACAAGCTCGAGAGTATCTTTAGGGGGATTGGACTCAAGGTCGGACGGCAAAACTATACTTATCACTCCTCTGGCAACACATATTCTGGCGAGAATGTGTACGCCATTCTCCAGGCCCCCAGGGGCGATGCGACCGAGGCCATTGTTCTGGTCGCTGCCTGGAGAAACGTCAAGGGAGAGTTCAACCGCAACGGCTTGGCTCTCGCCCTGGCCTTGACGAGATACTTTAAGCGCTGGTCTTTGTGGTCCAAAGACATCATTCTGGTTGTTCCCCCAGATAGCCGTTCGGGCACCCAGGCCTGGGCTGATGCGTACCACGACGGGCATGACTCCTCCAAAGTTGCCTCCCTGCCAATCAAGTCTGGTGCCCTGCAGGGAGCCGTTGCCATTGATTACCCACAGGAAGGCCGCTTCGAGGGCGTTCACATTGTGTATGATGGCGTCAACGGGCAGCTTCCCAACCTTGATTTGATCAACTCTGTCGTCAACATTGCCAGCGGGCAGATGGGAATGGGCTCAACAATACAAGAGATGTGGCGGCACTCGGACAAGTATCCAGACCGCCTGAAGACAATGCTACGAGGTATGCTCAACCAAGGCCTCGGCCATGCAGCTGGTCCTCACAGTTCCTTTATTCCCTATCACGTCGACGCCATCACGATTCAACCCATTGGCAATGGCTGGCACGACGAGATGGGACTCGGCCGCTTGATTGAGGGTACATTTAGGAGTCTGAACAATCTGCTGGAGCATCTGCACCAAAGCTTTTTCTTCTATCTGCTCATGCACAAGGAGAGGTTTGTGAGTATTGGTACATACCTGCCCTCAGCCATGTTGATTGCAGCCAATTTCACCATTATGGCAATCAACCTTTGGATCAGGAGCGGCCACGTGGAAGACACCCCGATCATGGCAACCAAAGGAACAACTGGGTCAAAGGAAGACGAGCTAGTAACCACCGCGGACAAGCAGGAGGCAGGAACACCAAGTACGACAGCTGCAGAGCGAGATCTTGTTCTCCCGCTCGGATTCGTCGCTGCAGTGCATTTTCTTGGATTTGTACCCCTCTTCATCTTTAGCCACGCGCCAGCAACCGTAAGTCTCTTCTTCTTCTGTTTTCGTGCCCCCCCTCCTCTCTCTCCCCCTAAAATACTGATACCGATCTTGCTCACACAATTAATTAGTTCCTCGAGCCTATCCACCACGGTTTTACCATCTTCACTGTGGCGGCCCCCTTTGTTGCGTCTCACGTCCTCGCGTCGCAGTTCACTCTACGGAAACAGCACTACCAACTACTATCATCGTTCTCGCTCCTCTGCCTCGGCATGTTCCTCTCAGCCTTGGCAACACTAAATTTCTCCCTGGCATTCCTGGTTGGCTTGCTTTCAACTCCTCTGTCCTTTGCTCAGCCCACGCAAAGCCTCGTTATGAGATATGGGTACTCGGCTATCTTGACAGCGTTAAGTCCTGGCGTTGTGGTGACGTCTGCATCCCTTCTCTCCGCTCTTGGATTGGATGTCATATTGCAGGAAGCAGCATTCGGGTGGGACGTTTGGGGCATGTATACACCCTTGGTCATATGGTGCGTGTGGTGGCCAGCTTGGATTGTTGGAACTTTCGTCGTGCTGGGCCGACCAGTCGATGAGAAGCTCAAGAGTGCCTAGGCAATTAGTCAACCATAAGAATGAGTTATCCGCCAGCCAAGCTTTGGTCGCATTAAACCGCAAGAGGCTGAATTCGCATCAGTGTGTTGCATAAACTTGGACGATGGAATAAATCCATGTGCCAATAGGCCTGTGCTGTATGGTATTGATCTTGTTTGTTTATGCCACCATGCTTGGGACACTGATCTAGGTATCTAATTTACAGACCCAAAGCACACTGGGCCGGACTCCTTTTTACTCTCCTGCCGCAAAGTCCGTGCCCAGTGCTCGCTCAAAAAGAGACCAGCCTGAACCATTATCATCATCATAAGTTTCTCTCTCGGTAGGATGAATTTACGGAGCCCAGATATCCTGTCCTGTGGCCTCGATCCAGTTGCCGAGCTTATTCACATTTTCGCCCCACTCACCCAGCCTGGCGCCCATGCTGGCGATCTGAGTCATGTCCAGTACACGCGGCTGCACCCAAGTGAAGTTGACGAGCTTGTCGACCTCATCGATTGTGCCTCTCACCAGACCGAGGCTCAGGGCCTTCATCACCAGGTGCTCGATTTGGTTGGAACGCACCCGGGTGTCGGCAGCAATGGCGTCAAAGGTCATGGCCCGCTGGTGAGGCGGCCGCCGGAAGACAGCCTCGGTTAGTGCTGTCAGGTAGATCTTCTCTCGAATTTCATCCTCATTGTCGGCGAGCAGCTCATTGTTGGATATGTGGCCGGAGAGCTTGTCATAGGCGACGAGGTCTCCACGGTTAAAGGCGAGAAGGAGCTGGCGTAGCCATTCGGCGTCGCCCGCCAAGGCAGCGAGAATGGGATGTTGCAGCAGCTCACCAAAGTTGTAGATGGATTCTGACACCAATGCAGAGATTCCCAACTCAAAAGCAATGCTTTTGCGCTCACCCTCGGACAGCTCCTTGAGGTCGATGCAGGCAAGGTAGAGCAGGGCGTTGCGGTAGTATGAGGCGTAGTCTTTGACGGAGCTGTAGTAGGTGGCATTGGTGCGGTAAAAGGCAGCATGGACCTTGGCCTCGACGCTGTCAAAGGTGTCGAGAATCTTTTCTGCCTTGTCGAGGTCTTGCCTGGCACCTTCCTCGTCTTCTACCCGGAGCTTCATCATGCCGACGGCGATTGTGGCGTAGACGAAGGCGTCTTGTGAGTTTTCATTATCAACCTTCTTGGCAAGGTCTTGCAGGAAAGATAGCCGTTCTTCATCATCTATCGTGGCATTTCAGCAAACGGGTTGGAATAGAATGTAGAAAAGGGCAAAAAGGGTCGCAGCATACCTCTGCATGCCGAGGCGGCCTTGAGGCCTAGATCGACAAGCTTGAGTTGGTTGATCTTGTCGGCAAACTTGGAGATGAAGACCTTGTAGAACTGTAGACGCTGCTTCTGACTGGCTGGGTTCTCAAAGAATTGGACAAGGGAGTCGGTGAGCTGGTGCCATAGCTTCCTCTCCCACAAGTTCTCGAATTGGATGATGAGACCCTGAAGCTCCTCGGGAGCTTCGTCCCGCTGGTCGGCGAGGAAGTCGGAGATGGTGTCGACATTCATGATGCCGGCGTGTGGCAAAGGTGGTTATTATTATGTGATGGGCCCGGCGGCGACGATGGGAAAAGTCACTTTTTTTCCGTGGTTGATTGCTGGCGGATTGGGAGTCGCAGGAGTTGTGCCAATAGCAGAAGTAAGTGTCGCCTTGATTCCGGAAGGAGTGTTGTGATTACGGTAGATGGGTAGCTAAGTACGTATGTGGACTGGAGGCTGAACAGAAGCTCCAGTACAGTGGTGGGTGGGTAGGTACAGGTAGTAGGTACTGCGTTTTAGGGAACATGGCTACCTAGGTACTGTAGCTTCCCCCCAGTCCACCAGGCGTCCATCCCACTGCAAAAGACGCGGCTAGCTGGCAGCCTGACGGTCAAGTGGATCTCCTTCCACGGTGGACTATCCACGTTTAGTGCAAGATATCTGAAGCTAGCTTTGACTGGCTTAGTTGTACGCAAGGGCCAGACTGTACTGCGCAAGCCACAGTGCTTCTCTATCCATCCGCCCAAGCCGCCTGCAACTCCGTACGTGCCTGATTTTATTGTGGCGCGGGTTGCTTTCGGTGGCTTGAGCTCGTCTGAAATCAGCTGTCGGTGATTGGCGGACCGATCGAGGTGGCAGGCAGTCCCGGCGAGTTCAATTCAAGGTGAAGCTCAACGTTGACCCATCTAGCTAAACAGACGCCCAGCATCGATTTGTCGCCAATTCGACCCGGGAATTGGGAGAGGTACTGTCGTTCTTGCATTATTCAAATAGTCGCAAGGATGGCTTCCTTTCCGACCGCCGTGCGGTCAACCAGAAGACTCGCAATCAATCTCACCCAGCGACGCTCCATTGCCGATGTTGTCGTCACCCGTACCGGCAAACCCATTCTGCGGTCGCAGGGCGGACGGTATGTCCTTTGTCTTTCTCTGGCCGCATCCCTGGCCTCTTGTACTGGGCAATTGGCTTTTTACTGACTCGGATCCGGTTTTATAGACACTCACTCGGAGGTATGGCAACTCAAATACGCCCACGATAGGCCCCTCGTCTAACGCCCGAGATCTAGGTCACACCGCGACGGTATTTGGCGCAACTGGCCAATTGGGACGATACATTGTCAACAGACTTGGTAGGAAGATCGCACAGTCTTAGCTCAAATTCGTCTCCTCTAATAACAATCGGATACAGCTCGTCAAGGATGCCAGGTCGTGATTCCGTACCGGGAGGAAATGGCCAAGCGTCATCTCAAGGTGACGGGTGACCTGGGCCGAGTTCACTTTCTCGAATACGATCTATACAACACGGAATCCATCGAGGCCAGCGTTCGCCACTCGGACGTCGTCTACAACTTGATCGGCCGCACCTATCCCACCAAGAACTACAGCCTAGAGGACGTTCACGTACAAGGAACCGAACGTATTGTCGAAGCCGTGGCCAAGTATGATGTCGACCGCTACATCCACGTCTCTTCCTACAACGCCGACCCCAACTCCCCTTCTGAGTTCTTTGCCACAAAGGGACGGGGTGAGCAGGTTGCTAGAAGCATATTCCCCGAGACCACCATTGTCCGACCCGCGCCCATCTTTGGCTTCGAGGACAACCTATTGATCAAGCTGGCCACCCCGGCTAACCTGTTCACCTCGAATAACATGCAGGAGAGGTACTCCCCAGTTCACGTATGTCACTCCATAAAACTTCAACCCCCTCTTTGCGTTTTACGCGCAATGAAACTAATCCCGCCATAGTCAATCGACGTTGGCAAAGCCTTGGAGCTCATGCTCTATGACGATAGCACAGCTGGGCAGACCTTTGAACTGTATGGTCCCACCGAATACTCGACAGAGGAGATCGCCGAACTGGTCGATCGCGAAATCTTCAAGAAGCGGAGGCACATCAACGTTCCCAAGGCCATCTTGAAGCCCGTCGCAGCACTCTTGAACAAGGTGCTTTGGTGGCCCATCCTGAATGCCGAGGATATCGAGAGGGAATTCATTGACCAGCAGATTGACGAGGCCGCCAAGACTTTCAAGGATCTCGACATTACCCCTGGCGACATCAAGGACTTTACATACCACTACCTCCAGGGATACCGAAGCTCGTCATTCTACGACCTGCCCCCGGCAACGGAGAAGGAGAGGAGGGAAGACAGAAAGTACATCCATGTTACGGATGAGTTGTAGATTATCCTTTGCAGGGCCAACGGAAGAGAACTCGTGTGCATTGTACATATACACCTAGACCCGGGATCTCCTTATATCGACATTAGTGAACAGTGATTTTTGACCAAAAGTTTTCTTGAGGCCTTGGGTGCAATTGAATATTATTCAAGAGTAGTGACATTTGGACTTTTATCCCCTTCTTCTTTTTCCGGTCCTTTTTTCTTCTTGTTTTTCTTTCCTTTTTTCTTGTTTTTCTTTCCCTTTTTCTTCTTTTACTTATCCTTCTTCTCTTTTCCGCCTTTCTATTTCCTGCTTCCTGATTAGTTTGCTACCACGGAAAGGAGGCGCTCTTTTGAGGTTTCATTTCTAGTGATAACGTGGATATGTCGGGATACTCTTTGGTAGCCGTATCATTATTAAAGTAGGTTGAAACTGGATAAATTGGTATGGTAACAAAAGTTATATGTACGATAGGGTCGACGCGTCAGCGAGCATACAACCATGACTCGGCTGACGAGAAATCGACATCATACATAACGACTGTTCATGGCCAAGATATCTGTGTTTTTCCGGCATGTGATGCGTCTGACTGCTTGGAGGTTACGGCTTTGTTATGTTTGTTCTTTTGTTTCCATCAGTCGTGTCTTGCAGCTTTGAGATTCCTCGATGTTTTGGAAAAAGAAGCCATCGACACTGCATGTTAATGCTGTGATTAATAGCTATCCAAGGTGTTCCATACATTACTTCTCTTGTGCTGCAAAGCAGTCGTCTATCACAGCAATTATATAAGACGGCAGATTATTTGCAATTTCGCTTTCAAGCACATGGCCTTGGATAAGCAAGCAATAACAGCGATTGTCGTCCTATATTGTAATTTCTTTCAAACTATCTCCTCGCAGTCAATGCCGACTTTATACTCATGCTACTTCCCTCTCCCCTCGACGCCTGGACTATACACAAGCACAGGCCAAGCAATGCGCAGGCTTCCTCATTCGAACACAGTTTGGAGGATACAAATTCGAATATACTATATTTAGGCATATTGGAAAAGTCTTAACAAATTCAACCAAACCCACCCAGTGTCTGGCGCCTTCCTTTGGTATATTTGCGATAATTTCTCCTAGGATTAATGACAACCTCGGATGAAAGAAAAAGGAGAGAAAGAACAAGAGGCAACACAACAAAATTGAATCTATATGCAGCAATCAAAGAAGTATTGTGTATACATATATCTGGACACGCACAAAAGCGTGAATGTGCACAAAAAAATCGACATGTGCAGGATTTGAACCTACGCGACCGAAGCCATGAGATGGCTGAATTGCTCATTGCAGTTCAAGTCTCACCCATTAACCACTCTGGCAACATGCCATGTTTCTTGTTGTTGAAAAGTGGCTCATTATTCGCAATTATGATAGCTTGTGCCGCTACCTGAGGAGTGGGGTGGGGCTGTCACCTAGCTGCACCGAAGATTCGCCGGTGATCAGCCGGTGGGGTTACCTTGTGTGTTTTCCACTCGGTCTCGCCTCCCAAGAGGTCTACTATGTCCTGACCTAATACTGTGCGTTCTTTCATAATATACACCACTGGTTGACTGGAACCCGTACGACTCAATGGCATGAAACGAAAACCAGAGACCTGGCATACCTCCAAGACCCCATCATCTACCACCGGCCCACAGATCCCTGTACATTGACGGTGCCAATCAGGGCTGTGAACTTCTCTGGGGGGATTGTTCCGGCGGGCATAATGTCAGACATTGGAGAGGTCATGGCAGCGGAGCAGTCAATGGAATTATGGTTGCTTCGCGATCCCTTGCAGATCGGGCAGGGGATAGTGTACAAGTCCTCGATGGTATCTGTGGTGACATAATAAGAGGAGATCTTCGCAAGGTAGGTTCGAATAAGCTTGGCTTGAGCATCGAAAAGGGTGATAGTGAGGATTCGAATTCTCTTGCCCGGTGTGTCTTTAGTGGGAAATCCCGCGGTCGACCACACAGCATATGGTCTTGGACATAGAGTTCAAGCGGATTCGTCTATTACATATAGACTCTTGAATGAAATGCTCTTGTAAAGACTCTATAACTTTGGGGCAAAATGCTGCAGCCTCCGCTTTAAATGTTAAATAATAAATTAGTCATTCTTTCGTTTCTTGGGAATATAAAAGGTGATTATATAAAAAAAAGAAAAAGAAAAAGAAAG